ATGGGGGGGGGGGGCGAGCTAATTAGAGCAATCGAAGATATCGCGAGAAATCGGCGAGAGTTAAGTAAAGCCGGCCCGGCCCGCCCGACAGCCCCGGATCGGAAATATAGATAAAATATTTTCGTTATTTACAATATTAGTTGAACGTTAGTCAATAAATAATAATTAGTGGTATAATTATTTATTTAATATAATAATTTAATATTACGTTTGCGATAATAAAAATATTACAAGAGATGGAGCCTGTATCGTTATTCGTTACACTAGAGTAGCAGGTAGGTGTTTAATTCGCTCAGTCCCACTTACGAAACTCCTATAAAATCGTCATCGACATCGATCATTCATTTTAAATCTCATTCGATATATTCAAGCGATCCAATTTCGAAGCTCATCGATGTCAATTCGATGGATTTCGTAAGCGTTTCTGTTATCCTTTTTTTTTTTCCATAAGTTTTTCTTCTCCCTCTCGATCTCTCGTCGAAGTAGTCCAAGTGCTCACCCAACAGTCTCAGTGATACCTCGCAAGGGTCATTGACCCTTCGTGAAAACATCTCGAATATTCCTTCCACGTGACATTAGGAGACACGATAACCATTGTAAAACCACGTGCGATCATTGTTACATCGGGTTATAAATAAAAGAATAGGAACTGTCATTAAGTACTGGTAAGACTAGGATAATACGAACACGTGGATAATCGACACGATCTAGGAAATTCTTATAAACGAGAATGAAAGATGCTAATAATATTCCAGGAGCGATTAATCGATCGATCGAGTGATTCGATGGGTCGATCGTCGTAACTGTCGCGTATTCTCCATAAGCCCCTAGCTAGTCGTCTTGAACACTTGGACGTATTTTTTTTTTATTCTCATTTGTTTCACTAAAAATACAATGTATTAAATTGGAGAGTGAAAGAATTCGGAATCTCTCGAATCTAGCGTTGGATTATCATTTATCATTTTTTTTTTTTTGCCTTTTTACTTTTCCGACTCGAAGAAGTAAATAGTCACTAAAATCGCTACTCGTTCTGCGTTCTAAAATAGTTGAAAAGGCGGCATGACGTGTAATCATCCGTTTATCGCTTAATCGAGATAGTAATAAAGTTTTATAATTAATTATTTAATTAATTAAAGTGGCAGCAGTTAGGCCATGCGGCACCTATCATCTAGTCGTCTTTGACTCTTGGCTTTCTTATATAGGATTTTAAAAATTCTTTTTTTCCTTTTTTTTGTCATTCCCATTTTCTTGTGTGTGTAAAAGTGTCACGTGTATTAGTACTTTTTTTTTTTCCCCGTGTGTCCGTAAAGAGTGTGTATAAGTGCAGTATTATCTTGTGTCCGTATCTCATTTTCATAATTGCTGTCCTCGGGTCGTTAATCACGTTTAATTAGTAAATCTTTATATCTCTTGAGAATAAACTGTTTAAATGACTTTAAAGTTATGCATTCCTCTCGAAGCGCCTACCCTAGCGATTTTATTTATTTATTTTAGTATTACCTCCCTCCCACCCATAATTCAACTTCCCCCCATACCCCTTAACTGAAAAATAAAAAAAAATCTCCCTTCACTCTTTTCACTTTTCCTTCTTTCTTTTTCTTTATAACGTCGGTAGCGCGTCTCGGATTTGTCTCTCGTATTTATCCACTGATTAAATTTTAATTGATTAAAAAAATTTATAATTGCGCCTCGTACGCACTACTCGATCGCGCAATATTAAAATCTCGAGGAGTCCGATTGGTATGACTGACAATGAGAGTCGACGAACGAACGGAAGCAAGAGAAGGAAGAGTAAAGGAAAAAAAAAAAAGAGAGAGAATAACACGAAGCCCAAAAAGAAGAAAAAAAAAGTTTCGTAACACTTGCTAATCGTTACGTAATTACGAAAAAGGACGTAAACGCGAGGATCGATTCGATCGGTGGACGAAATACTGCGGTTTATTTATTTATTAATATTTTCCGTTATTCAAATAGCGATACTGCGTTAGTTCTCATTTAAATATCTCTCTATGCTTTGTATTTAGTTTAATTCGTAATTAAATCGGTAACGAGAACTTTCGAAACGGATCTTAAAAGCACCTAATCGAAGAAAGTAGAGTTTTGCGCGTAGCGCGAACATTTTATTTATTTATTTATTTATTTTTCCTTCGATCGTTACCCAAAATCGATCTTACAATCGATTATCGACGGTTAGACGACCAGACGCCCGCATTCACGCAATCACGCATCCGCGCACAACACGCACACGCACTCTCGCTCGCCGATACATCCGACAGTCATTATCAAATTTTCATATGTAAAATTCAAAGCCCATGATTGCCAAAAAACACGAATTACCGCGCCCGGCAAAGCCCGCACCGTCAGTTAATAAGAACCTCACGCGAACGGGTCGCGGATAAAGTCGCCGAGGTATTTATTTAATTTAATTAATTTTCCCTTTTATTTTCATTAGTCGCTAAGCCTCGTCGATAGATTCTTAAAAATCGTAATAAGCAAAAATATTAATATAATAATAGTTTGTGTATAATTAGATTCTTACTCGTCTCGTTTAAGTATCGATAGGATCGTGATTAATTAATATAACAATGATTGAAAGAGTGTGTGTTTTCTTTTGTATTATTTATTATTATTTGAATTTTTTTTTTTTTTGGGTTTATCTATTTTTTACTCCTCTCTTCCCTCGTCTGTCTGTATACCTTTTTTCTTTTTTACGTTAATAACTAATAATTATTTAAGCTTAGTGGCATGAAAATGCTCGTTGGAATTGACTCGTGTGTACAATTATATTTTCGCTTCGACGCGCGTGCCGTCGCGTAGCCGTCACGACGTCTCGTGCTCGGGCGTCTCCCTTTAGGATCCCCATAGTTCCTACGGCCCTGTCCCTCCCGCCCGGCCGCCCCTCTCTTCCCCTAGGAAGTTCGCAAATCGTTGAGGGCCAGAGGGTGGAGGGGCAGGTGGGAAAACAAATTATTGAGACTTCGCGCCTGGTAGGTTAGGAAGTTCGTCGACGTCACGATAGCAACGGAATACACGCCACGCCAGATGGATTTGTCTGCCTGTCTGTGTTTAATCGTCTTCGTACATATTTTTTGTTTTCACACTTTTTTTTTTCTTTTTCTTTGTTTATTACTTCATTTTGACATCAGCCCGGGCGTCAAAACTTCGGAAATACTTTCTTGGATCACTTTGGATTTATCACAATGTTTTATCAGCGGGAACCGCGGGGCCCCCCTCTCTCTCACTCTCTCTTTCTCATCTGGCTGTGCCGCACTCGCCGGTACGTTCGTAATCCACCTACGCACTTTTTTATGTAATTCAAAAAGATCTCCCCCGTAAGAGAAAAAACGTTAGATAAATTGATATAACAATGCAATAATTAGCCTAGAGAAAATGTTTAACAATAAGAACATTTTTTATAATAATTGCGATACTCGAGCACAGCCCGTGAATCAAGGGCCCCGTCGAAGAGCTCTCGTTATCTCTCTTTTTTTAATAATCCTTATCTTTATCCTTTTCTTTTTTTCTTTTCCTAATCGATCTGCTATCTCAACAAGAGACTCTTCTCGTACGTGCGAATTCTCTGGAAAGTCCTTTCGAATCCGTCCGAGCGGCATTTTCGATGCGAAGTAGCGACGAACCAGCGGGAAAACTTAACGGTTTGTCACGATTTCAAAATTTTATGATTTTAATCGCTCAATCACTAAACCTTCTCTACCATCATTGACTCGCTTCTCCATTCTACGGCAAGATCCAAATAGATCTCTCTTCCCACCTACGTTGTATATCGAATTGTCATATTAAATCGGAGTAGTATGTAGAATTAGTACGCGTCATTTTTTTCTTTTTCTACTACTTTTAGGAATGCCATATTTTGTGATAATTAATTACGGCAAGGAAATGCCCACCTCCCCTTTGCAAAACCTTCCTAGTAAGTCACCTCCAGCACCCTAAGCGCTTTCGGGACATTGGTGTTACGCGCGGTTTAAACTAACACGACATAGAAATAATAAAAAAGAAAGCAATGTCTCTCGCGTACGCTCGATAGCACCATAATAGTTGTAGTAGTTAATAACAGTATGATTACTGATAAAAGCATGATCTCCAATCCTCGTTATCGTCCGCTACTCGATAACAAGACTCGAGCAAGATAATTTTCAAAAAAGAATCTCTCTCTCTCTCCCTGACCGCTCAACACATGTCTTTTCCTTTATTTGTCCTATCCCTCGTATCCTAAAATCTGGATTCCACTCGGAGTCACGTCAGAATCTCTACACTTGATTTAATAGAATAGAATTATTCGTCTGAACTATGCGACTATAGTTGTATAGTACAGCCAAGTGTATGGAACCATATCTCTATCACGTGCCGAAAACCATTCGGTAAGCCTAACAAGCGAGGAGTCCTCCATTAAGTCGGTCCATCCGAGGAAACTGCAGACGCAGCCAAAGCTCAGCGTCAAATCATTCAGATAACCCCACGTGGACAAGATGAGAAAAAACGCAGCAGGAATGATCGAGCCATTTCTGATGTGGTTGACAGTAGGCAAATCGGTACTGCGACTAGAAGATCTCAATCCGAGATGAACAGATGACCCGTAACCCAAGTCCTTTGATTCTGTGACTAATAGAAGTAACGGCAACAACAGCAACAAAGGGATCGAAGTAAGGAGAACAACAATGAACTCTCAACTGACAATCATAAGAAAGAAAAGGATCTTCCGTCCAGAGTAAAGTCTGCGCAAGTTACTGAGTTCCTTAATCATTGTAAAAATACAGAATGGATAAACGTCCCAGCGAGGAAACTCCCGAGTTCGCAAGTTCAAAGTGTTTCCTTTATCCGTTGCCTGTTTACGTTGTTCCGCCTTTTAATTTCAAATGAACAAGGGACGTCGTCCTAAGCGTGTCGACACTCTCTCTGAAGAGGAGTACCGAGAGCACGGCCGGCGGATTGGCAATCAGCTACTAGGTGATGTCGGGACTGGCGGCTACTGGGTTGGCGGCTACTAGGTTGGCCCCTGGGCTAGATGAGGGCGAGTTTTGGAGGGCAGCAGCCCCCCGTGAAATGCCCACTGGCTGCCTCCCGTTCCCGCTTGCGACGGCCCTGGCGTTCTGCAGTCTGTCGAAGACAACAAGTGATTAATTGTGTGCCAATTGGACGGTAGACTCCTATTTTTCGTAACAGCTACGATCTTTAAATTGGCAGCTTCAATATCGGTATACTTACCGGTCGTGAATCGTCCCATGACAGGCTGCATGGATACACAAGAAGGGATACTTTAGAATGGACACGTAACTGGCAGGTGATGACAATAGGATAGCGATAGAACGATAAGGAACATCAAGAGGATAAGTATTTGCTCTGGCTTCGATTGATTCACTCTGTCTCTTTTTTCTCATTTGGTCGACTACTCACTTGATCTTAGACTGACGCATAAACTGCTGAATCTTTCGGGCAGCCTGGTGGGCAGCTTGCTGATGTGCTGCTTGTTGTCTGGAGTTTGAGGAACCTGGTCTCGCTCTGTAGCTGCGATAATTGCTCTGTATCACCAGCGCTGCCCTAGTGGCTTGTCTGTAATGCAGAGAATCAATCATCCTGGCAGAAGAAAAGGAACTGGAAGAATGTACGTGACGTACGATCCGTCATAAAGAAACTTGACTTGTACTTCTATTAATTAAATGCAGTCTTAATTTGCCATTCGACCCGACCCGCCAGCCCTATAACCAGGAACTGCTAAAGTTCCCGAATTATTTACGAGGGCAATTAAAAGTTCCTGGCTAGACCAGGTAACTTTAACTTCCCCACTCAAGAACTGGCTACCGAATCGTTAAATTCGCCCCAAGCAGCCCAGGGACCTGTCTTCGCTATTAATGACTATTTATTAAGAAGCCTCGTTTTCGTGACTATACCATGCGAAGGCGAACCTTTCCCAAGGACTCTTGATGGAACAAAGAAAAGAATCGTGACAAAGAATAATAAGCGAGCAAATAAGAAATCACTAAAACGAAACGCTACCTGTAGTATGCGTACTGCTTGTACCGGCGATAATATTGTTGGATGAGTACAGCAGCGTGTCTCTCAGCTTCTTCCTGTCTCTGACGACCCTTGTAACTCCTGTAGGCCTTCTGTATCATCCTTGCGGCCTGATAGAGCTCGCGCTGTTCGCGATCCGACAGAGTGAGTCTGCTGAGGTCGGCCTCTCCCCCGTCACTTCCGGTACCGCCATTTCCGTTACCACAGACTCCATTACCGATGGTGCGATCGCTGCTATTGTATCCATACTGCCCATTGTGCCCGTCCCCGCCGTCCAGCTGAAGTTGCAGCTGCAGAAACTCACAGAAGTCTGCAGTTGTCGGCGGTGGCGACGGCGAGTCAGGTGTCAAGCAACTGCTAGAAGGACTCGAGGGACTTGCGTCGGCGTCTACGTCAGAAACGGAAGCAGCACCTCCGCTGCAGTCGCGATACGAGTCGAACAATTCTCCAGAATCTAATGGCTGCGAACACAGAGAGACAACGATAGCTATGCCTCTTGTCGAAGCTCAGGAGCGGAGGGAAGTGGTCCCTTAAAGGACAATTTGACAAAAGGTCTCACCATCTGCTCCATCAAAGCGTCCTCCAGGGGCGGCAAGGGTGGCGGTGGTGGAGGCGATGATGGCGAAGGTGGATCACTCTCGGCTCTCTTGATCCTCTCCGGAAGCGCTGCTATAATTTGGTCGGCCAGAGTGAGGACCCTCGCGTCTTCTTCCCCTAAAAAAATTAATCAGCACCCTAGGCATACTCAAAAAGGGCTGGCACGAGAGGCCGCCGAAGAAGTACCACACACCGAGAACACAACACCTAGGTTAAAGCCATCGAGGGTGAATGGTTAGTTGGCGAATGTTTCAACAGGAACAACAGTTATCCCTGAATGGTAGGGACTCGCTTCGTGGAGCTCGTCTACGAGAAGTCAATTTATACTCTCACTAGGGAGCCCACGAAAACGAGAGAAACGTATAGATTTCTTGATTGTGCGAAAAAGTCGGAACCTCGAGACAAACGCGACCGGCTAGCGAGCTTAGGGAGGATTCAATTTAATACGTGGGATCCAATAGCGGTTACCAAGGCCAAGCAACACCCAACACTGCTGAAGCTGCAAGATTCACCTAATGTCAGAGCGAGAGTCATCTAAGACCGCGTTTATAATAGAGAGAGACTAACGGCTCTATTAAAAAAAAATATATATACATGAAAAATGATTAAAGAAGCTAGAAAGACAATTCAGAGTATCGTAAAGTATTGAGAGTATATCGATCGAAACAAAACGTGTAACGTGTTCCTACGAATTCGCAGCCCACGCAGATGTGATCTTCTAGGTCAGCAATCTAGAATCTTCTTAGTAGACCAACTGGCTTGTATACGTAAATTTTACGTTGTTATATATAGTATATGAATGTATACGGATGTTAGTGTTTGCGGATTTACAGATAGACAGACGACAAAACATACAGACAGACAGACAGCCAGACAGAGAGAAGGGGATACGAGGATTGTACGGACCTACAGTCTCTTGAGAGCTCGGGGCACTTTCCATCCCCTGTTGACCGAGTGTTAACGACGACTCGTCCTCTTGCAACAACTCCATGTTATCCAGGAACGGCGAGCCACCTGAATATTTTCGATGAGAACACCCCTTAATAGCTAAGTTCCTCTCTACCTCGCGACACTTAGCTTAGTCAGTACGTACTATTGTGGACTGTAGCTTATTTACGTGGGACAATAAGGAAACCTTGTCTGTACGTTATAGGGGTGCAAGGGTTTAAGGGCATAAAGGTATAAAGGCGTGACTAACATAAGGCGATATTGAGACCGCTGTCTTGCGACAGCCTCCTGGGGCTTGCTGGTCGCACGAACAGCTTCTCGTCCCGACGTCTGGCCTCCAGTTGATTCAGCTCCTCGGCGATGCTCGCGTGTCCGTTCTCGGCTGCTAACTCGGTGGCGCTTCTATTCCTACAGTCTCGTACTCTGAGGGCCATGGCGTTCCACCTGTTTTTAAGAAATTAAGAAGATTCTTCTTTGCAATTCCACGTATGTTCCTGGGACTGACGTCACGTCGACGTTCACCCACCTGTAGAGAATTTTGGCCATGTCGGCGTGTCCTGCAGCGCAAGCCCACGCAAGAGGAGTCAGCCCTGCGGCATCTTGTCTGAGAGCGTCGACTTCCGCGTCGAGGACACTGCTAGGATTCTCGGCCCGCCAATGGAGAAGAGCGCAAGCTAGTCGCGAGTATCCTAGACCAGCAGCCAGATGCAGGAGCGTCGGTCCACCCGACTGTAGAGGCTCCGCACCAGCACGCCAGGGCCTCACCACGGCGTCCTGTCGAGTAATCGTGCTTGTTTCACGTTCACTTTCGCTGGGAAATAGGACGCTGTTAGGCAAAGATACGTGAGTCGAATCGTCGGATACCTGGCAGTAGGCTACGAGACGTTCCTCCAGATGGGCTGCTAGAGATGGTGGTCCAGGTCCCTGAAGACGCGCCTCTACATCCGCCAAACGGTCCAGCAGAGCTTTTTCTGGACTGGGCTCTGCCGTTGGGGCACGACGGTATTCGAACGCTACGCTGTCCGACACCACGAAGCCGTCGCAGGCTACTTGAAGCGATGCTATTCCCGGAGCGTGCGCTGGACACCTGCAGCGCAACACTCCTGGTTGCACCAGACACGCTTCCACTGGCTCCACGTCGAAGAGCACGGAATATGATTGAGACCCGGTGCCACCTGTCCATGATCCGGCTACTAGGACCTTAAAATAATAAACGTGACGCTCGTGTTACAAATCCATAACTGATATTGATAATAAAAAGAATTCTTTTCTTAAAATTTACCTTAACGCCACCTTCGGTATAACTCCATTCCGGGCTGTATTCAGCAATATGGACGGTAGTTCCAGGATGGCAGGCTGGACCATTCTCAGGACCACCCCGATCATCCGCTTTAGCCTGCTCGGCTTCAAAATCATGAAACTCATGCAGGTCGCCAAAGACGTCAAAGGCGTCGAGATTTACGAGCACGTCGTCGGAAGAATCAATAAAATCCAAGGGATTTATGATGTTGTTATCAGCCGGTGATGGCGACGGAGACGGAGGTACCATGTTAGCCGACAATGTCCTCTGTATGTCTTCCTGACTAAGATCGAGCGTCTCGGCAAAGTCTGCGACGCCCTGGCCACTCGCAGGCGTCGTTAGCGTCTGTACAGCTGATCTTTCAATGCTATCCTTCGAGTCAATCTCTTGCTTAGTCTGCTGCTCCCGATCGACGCTAGTTTGCTGAACGATCTGCTGTTCGGTGACCTGCTGCATTTCCACCTGTTGGCTCTGCTGTTGCTGCTGCTGCTGCTGCTGTTGCTGCTGGTGATGATATGGCTGACTATTAAGAATAAGTAAACCACCTCCGCCCTGAATTTGTTGCAAACTTAATACTAAGGGAGCAGGTTGCTGACTCTGGCTAGAGTGGGAATGACGAGAGTATACACGTGGAGCCGCCGAAGTCGTGGTAGATGATTGTTGACCCCCGGTCGTCGATGAGACCTGATTGTCGGGTGTGAGCCTCCTAGGGGCCAGTTGCGCAGTGCTGGTAGATGAGCTCGAGGATGCTCGCTGCCTATCCAGGAGCTGAGTGACGATCATATCCACAGAATGGGTCGACTGTTGATTAACGTGTGGATTGTTAGGATCATCGTCACCGCCAAGGAACATCGGCCTTAACTGCGAGGCCAGCTCGTCCCTCGTCCATTCCTTTTTATCCGGCGGCAACGCCAGACACGGCGGCAGAGCTGCGAGCTTGGCGTCGCCGTCCGGGTAAGGAACGTTTAGATAATGAACGAGGACCACATCTGGATTTTGAAGGAGCCAGTAGCACCTTCGATGGAACGTAGGGAGAATGGCCGAGTGCACGTAGCATCCGTAGATGCACTCCACACCCTGGACCTTGAGCTTCATGTGATCCTCTCTTGTCGTCTTCCCGTCCTTTCTTTTCTTCCAGCAGTAGCCATCCCTCCGGTAACGTACTTTCTTCCTGGAGTACAGCAGCATGGAGCCACTTCTTGGTCGCACCTTCACCTCGCAACTCTGCCATTCTGCGTGCCTCTGGAAACTTATCAGGATGGCCGCAATTTCCTGAAAAAGATTTCATTGCCCGTCTTAACTGCCATATCTTCATGATTTTATTAAACGAGCTATAATATCTTTCTCGTGGGCGAAAGAAGTGCCAGTAGAATAAAGTCCCCAAAAATTGGAGTAATAAAAGAACGCAGGTACAGCCGCGAAATTGGTAACAGTGTATCTTGATATTTTCATAGAGAATATAAATTACTTTTGTGTTTGTATGTTGTACTATGACGCGCCACGTCACAGGAAGGACTCGAGTTTGGTTCTCTGGTATTGATTCGAGTGTAGAAGCAAGTGCCAAGCCTGCTTCGCATTTCATTCACGTGGGGCCACCGGTGCCATGGTAAGTCATGGCTTAAAAATCATAATAAACCTAACCTAACCATTGGAGTCGCATAAAAGTGACGGTGACGACGAAAATATTCGTTAAATTAATAATAATATTCAGGTGTGTATAGATTAATTTTTCAAACGGTCTCAAATTTCTAGTAACAACTAAAATATCACACGAGAAAGTCGATTTCCAATTATTATGTATAAAGCAGGTATCTGACTCGCACGTGGAAATAGGACAGATGACATTTCTGACAATGCTGTCTTTCCCGCGTCTTTAAGAGGACTTCTTCCAGACCTTGTTCTGACGTTTCTAGAATACTTTTCTAAAAGAGTCCGGACGCCGTTTGCATAGCTCGGAACGAAGGATCCCTTAAACTTAAGACAGACGCTCGCACGTGAATTTAAACTCGAGCGGCCTTAGAAAATGGCCGATGTCTTACAGCCTTGGTAGCTGTGTCTCCCAAGAAGAAGGAACTTTAAGTGTCGTTATTCATACGACAGAGATTTATTGTCAAACAAGATTTTCATAAAGTCCCTAGCGACCGGAGTATTTCGCGAAAAAGTTCCCAGTGTGCGTGACCCAGCCAAAAGAATACCCACTGGCATCAGTAGAGGTAAATTTAGTATACGTCCTACATAAACATAGGAACTTTAGAAAGAAAAGAAAGTTTTTCCACATACAGAAATGCTACCAGGAAGTGTCTGTCTCCTCGTAAGGGTTGCCAGAGAATGATGCGAGATCTTCCCTGAAGTATATATTGCATAAATTTTATTTCTAAGCTTGTCCTCAAAAGCCTCCTCAAATTCCATCCCAACTAGAATCACCGAAGCCTGAGGGGGGTATGGTACCTGAGGTACCACGTGTACTTTCTTAACGATTCTTCGTAATTCCTGGCTCTGCTGCTCAGGAACAAGGAAAAGGATTCGTGTCTCGCCGAGCTTTTTACGTTATTTTCGTAACGAGCTCGCGATTCTATGCAAATTGAAGCAGGAGCGGTGATTCGTCCAGCCATTAAAAAAATTGCTGCACGTCACTCCGGCTGTGTGTAGGCAAAAGCTGGTAGAAGACCCCTCCAGCTAACGTGACTCGAAGGTGGAAGAAATTCTCTAGCACATAAGAGCGTAGGAGTGACTAGCGTTGGTGCTGGTGTTGCAGGTAAAGATAGAAGAGTATAGAGGTTAGGTGGTGGGTGGCCTCACCTTTATCTTCCACGGGTTCCAGGCGAACGTGGCCTGGATATAAATATTCTTCAAGAGGGATGTGGAACGAGAAAGGAAGGAGACTGGTCAAGCAGGCCGTAGCCATTGGCCCGACCAAGTGCCCGCAACCCTCTGGATAGGATGGACGGAGCCCCCAGTGATTTACAGCCGGTTAATTGATCATTTGCATTCGGCCAGAGCTCGGTATCCCTGCGGGTGGGTTACACTGCCTGGATGTACCATCTAGAGGAGGTGGAGTCTCTAAATAACAACAGAACCGGATGTGCCTGCATCAATGAGGAGCATCGATGAAATATCTCAACGAGACGTTGACGCACAACGAACGACTCTTAAAGTCCATTAGAAACGCGTCGACGGACTTTAACGAGCTGCGATAGACAATGTGAAAAAGAACCGGATATCAAGGGGAGCCAGGGCACTGACAGTTGGAGGAGAAACGTACAGTGGGGCTTGACGAGCTAGGACTTCCGGAAAAGCCAGGGGGCTCTAAAGCGGAAATCTTAACAGCGCTCGGAAGCAATGTCTTCTACTTGATTTACGGAGGAGCCGAAACGGCCATGGCGATTTCACGTGACGTACCAACCGTCCGCCTCGCTAACGTGAATTAAATTATCGTTTCGCGGGGAGACGTATGGCGGTAATAAAAGTACAAAACGGCCGAAACTAAAGAGAAATCCGAGGGGTCGGGAGGGCCCCCCCTCTGGGGGAGGTAGCTCATTTGAATATTCGTGAGAAAAGAGAACGATAATAAAAGTGAGGAAGAGAGAGAGAGGAGGGAGAG